CATTCCAAGGGAAGGAGTAATAGGATTGAGATGTTTTGTTCTTAATGAGCACAGCCTGAACATGTGTATATGCTAAAGAAAACAGAATGAAAAAGAAAAGTTGGGTTTACTGAATGTCAAAATATATCAGAAGAAGAGATGTTCCTGAAAGGGCAGAAAGGATTGGAATACAAAACAGAGAAAGTGCTCTGTTTAGAGGAAGGAAAAGTAAAGTACTGAGGATGGTCATGGTATAGATTGTGTAGCTCAGTGGTGAAAGGAGTAGAAAGTTGAAAGGGATTCCAAGCCCTGGCTAGGAATATTAGAAGATATAAGATAAGTAATTATAGCTGACTTTTATTTATCCCTTACACTTACTCTGACATACGTTTTCTCTGTGAAGTAGAAGATGCAGTTACTAGCTGGAAAAGAGAAAGGAGGAGGTAGTTTTTTGATAAAGGAGTTGAGAAAATTGGTAAAAATATGAAACAGCTTTGCTGAAAATAGGAACAAATTTATTCCATGTTTTAAAGATATACTAGGGAAATCTTTTTGCTAAAATCTTTGCCTATTTGCTCTTTTTAAAAAATCTGGAGACATGAATAGAAATAGGTACTTGTTCTTCTAATAATAGACTTGGAGTCAATCAATTAAAATATTCAGTCTTAGATTCTCTCCTCTATAAAATGAAGAGTTTAGACTTCCTGACCTAACTATAGGTCCTTTACAGTTCTGGCAGTCTATAACTTTGTTTCTGTTGTCTCTGAACCACAGGCCATTATAAGATAGAGGGTTTAATCTTGTTTTGTTTCATTTGTGAGACACACTGGGACCATGACAGCAAACCAACAGTGGAAAGGAAGAAGAAGGAAAGAATATAGGGCTGGTGTTTGTGAAGAAAGAGAGGTTGTTAAAGTTATTAAACAAAGAGGAAATGTAGTCTTGGGTTTAACTTATATAAGTGATATGCAGAAATTATATAATATAGTGGTTCTGACATGGCAGCAGTGATTTCAAAGATGTGGTGATGTTTGGAATCAGATGGATTTCTGCATCATGGTTCTGAGTTTAGGACATGGTACTAGCCTTAAACTGGGAACAGAGAATGCTAGATGTCCCTAGAAGAAAAGGGTCCTATGACTACTTCCAACAAGAGGAATTACAGATCAGATTAGAAAACATAGTATCCAAGATATACAGATTTCACAAACTTGCCCAGTGAATAGGTAGGGACTCAAGTTTTCTTAGACAAGGTATATAAAATTTCAAGATGCAAGACCAGCTCCATTCCCTAATTGTTCAGGAGATGAGGCCCCAAAGGTACAGCCTATTTTAGTAAATACTGGCTCATCTTTATATTTAAGAATCTACACAGTTTACAATCTGTCTTTTCAATTTTATTTTTTCCTTCTCCCTAAAATGAACCCCAAGCTGCATTCAGACAGATGTATTCACTGTCTACTGAGTGTTTCCATTACTGTCTGCATAATTGCTAATACAATTGTTTATATTTGGAAAACTCACCACCATCTTTTTCCATCTATCTGAAATATACTCATCCTTCAAGGTCCAATGCAATGACATCTACTTTCTTTATTACTCACCATCTCAAATAATTTCATATACTTAACTCTTATAATAAGTATTGCCTGTACCAAGTAGGTATTAAAAATATTTCACTTTGAAAGTATTGTTCCTATCTTATTCATCTTTCCTTTTCAGCACTTTCTGCTCTAAATAAAGTAGTGTTTGGTCAATTAATGCAAATATTAAAATTTACATACATACGCAGAAGAGCCAGCAGATAGGGGAAATCAAAGGACCATTCTCAATGACACATATAAATGTTATATATTCTCTTTTTCTCAAACTTTCAAAGTTTATTTTGTAAACTTGGGATCCTCTCAAATAAATAATATAGGACAGTATTAAATGGGAGAACATGGTTGTGGGATGATAGTACAAGAAGCACTTTCCTAAATTGTGTATATAGACATTTAATACTTGGCTAAAAACTATACCCTAGAGAGTGATTAGAATGCCCTATAATGTAAATAAAAGCCAAAAGAATAAAAAGTTAGTAAAAAATGAAGTGGAAGAATAAATCATGATTGTTAAATAAAGAACTAATTTCACACAGACTAAAATTACCAAATCTCCATGCTCTTGGAAAATTCTTTCTCAGTGAAGTTAAAAGAGTACACATTTGAAGAATGTCCTGAGCAGAATCAATATCTTTAGAGTTCTTGTCACAACCATCAAATTTCATTTTGAATTTTGGATATTTATGTGTAGTTGACATTTTAACTTTGGCATAAAGCTGTAAAGAATTGAGCTTGTTTATAAAAGGGTAATATGGAAAATGAATGATGGTGTGGTTTATAAATCTAAAACATGACAAATGCCACCACATCCAGAAAATAACCCATCTATTACGTGTATTTCATCTTCCAAAATGCTATTCAAAATAGTAAAAGAAGAACACAGATGGGAGTTGGAACAAATTCCCAAGGAGATTATAATCAATAGCTCTGAGAGATAATGGCTCCATTTAAAAACTTACCTCTAATAGGGATTTATTTCAAGATGATTTGTGATTCTATTTAGCAATAGTGTTAAATTGAGTGTAAGCAACTTTCAAATTCTGAAACTGCCTTAATCATCAAAGAATGTTAAAACTAGAAGTCAGTCACAATGTGCTGAGTGCCCAATTCTTATAACTTCATGACAACATAGGAAATATCATTGCTGCTAAGTCATATGAAATATCAGAATACTTTCAACCTCCTAATGCTAGAATTGTATTTTGGTGAACACTGCCATAAAGTAAAACCAATGACTTTTTCAACTAACTCTTGATTAAAAAAAAGAGAGAGAAATCAAATTCTTATAAGCTATTTGTGTATTGGGCAATCAGAGCAAACACCAGGTTGTTTAGAGTTTAGGGCAGGGTTTAGCATTTCTAGAGTAGATTTAGATAAATTGTTGGAGCGGGTTCAAAGAAACAATTTGCAAACTAAATGTTACCAGTGGAAGCCATAAGAATATGTAAAGAAAGAACTACTTCTGCAAAAGTATTGCATTGTACTACTGGATTTCTTATGATTTAAAAAATATATATTAGCATCCATACATTTATCATGATTCTTTGTAAATGAAATTTTATAGTGCAATAATGGATGACAATAAGTCCAGTTATCAACAGAAATCATTTGATGACTGTCTAAAGGCATCATTAGCATGTTAAATTTACCACTACTTAGAATCTGACCCTTGTCACACTGGGATAGCCAGATTCACATGAAAATTAAATTTTTAAAGCAGACTGTCAATAGATTTACCACAGACAATCCTTTTCAATTGTTGTAATATGTGTGTCTCTACCAGGGTCCCCCTTTTAGATATTTCACAAATCCCATGAAATAAAATAAATAGAGTTCCTTGGTATATATGAAATCATGATCCATGGAAGCACATGTTGTTGATGAGTATTTTATATAGATCACAATGAGGCCAATCATATTATCCCTGCTCCAGTACAGAATGAATTTCTCTAGCTACTAGAAAATTTATGCTCTGAAAATTCAGTTCTTGGCAATGATAACTTAATGGTTGTTTAGGTTCCCCTGTTGGTTCTCTAGACCAGTGTTACTCCAGCTCTTGACCAGCTCTGTTTGGCAGTCGACATATCCAGAGGTACATGCATTCTACTTATCTTAAAAAACAAACGCACACTCAGAGATAACAAGGCATTAGAAAGAAATAAAATAACATTAAAATCATGCCAAAAAAATCATACCCAAAGAAGAAAATGATAGACAAATGTAAACTAATGGTAATTATATGAATTTTATTTTAATAAAAATAATAGAAATTGAACCCCATCACAATAATGAGAAAACATTAATGATGTACGGAAATAAAGCATCCTTCCTAAAATGTTAAGTTTTCCACTGAAGGCTTGCACAATTGCCAAGCATTTCATAATAGCCATGTAACACTCTTTTTATGTTCCTCTATGAAGTTTCTTGGTACAATGCTGAATTAAAATACTCAGTAATCATTGTACTATTCTAATTTGTCTAGGTATTCTAAATTTAACCAAATTTCTATTGATTTATTAAAAATCATACTTTATATATAATAAAATTAAAAGCATATGAAATTGCATGATATTCCTCTATAAGAACTGGGGGAAATGTAATTATGTATCAGCTCTTGGCCCATCAGGAACCCCAGTAAACTAAACAGGGGGTTATCAACTACTTTTTATTTTTAATTAATATAGTGGATTGACATTGGTTAGTAAAACTCTACAGGTTTCAAGTAGGCAATTCTGTAATGCATCATCTAAAATTGAATTGTGTATTTAGCACCCAAAGTTAAATCTCCTGTCACCATATATTTGACCCACTTTAGCATAATTTTGTAGGATAATTCTACTCATTGGGTATACAATCTTTCCCATAACAGTATAAAATGAAGTTGATTAATCTTCTGTTGTGTAAATTATAGGCACATTTAAGTTCTGGATTCTTGAAATTGCTCTCAGGTTATCCAGACAGAAGTTTAGAGGTTTCCCTAATGCTTCAACCATGTATGTATTGAATATAATATTGTGATTTATCATCTACCAGTTGGGTATGCACTTTAATTAGGTGTGAATTCTACTGGGTTACTTGTTGAAGGTCATGATTATTTCCAAATCATTGGCCAAGAAATAGTACCTTGTTATTGCTATCATGTAAAAGAATAAAAATATGTTTGCATTTCATAAACATATTTTAATATTTATGAATTGCTTTACATTTTCTACCCAGGAACCAGATTAGCAAATATTTTTTATGTGTTCATAGTTCTAGTCAAAGCAACAACTCTTAAATAGCTACCACTGACAACATAAATAGAGCTCTCTGTAATGAATATGCTCATTGTTATGCTATGTTCTAGGAATTAGGCTGCTAAAAGTGTGTGTTAAGATTATACATACAGGCCAAGAACCCGTATCCAGCAACAGAGTACTTTACTGCTCCCTCAGAATGAATGGCAATCATAAATTGGATGTTTATGACCAAAAAATGAAGGCTTTCATCCAGCACTTCTCCCAGATTGTCAAGGTGCTGACTGAGGATGTCACAGGGCACCTAGAAATAGAAGATGCTATGGCCTGTCTAAAGGAGAGCCTGGAGTACAATGTTGTCGGAGGCAAGTACACTAGGAGTATGACTGTGCTGACAGTGATACAGGACCTGGTGGCTCCGAGAGAGTTGGAGGCTGCCTGCCTCCAGCAGGCCATGACTGTGGGCTGGTGTGTGGAACTGCTCCAAGCTTTCTTCCTGGTGTCAGATGACATTATGGATTCATCCCTTACCCAACGGGGACAGATCTGCTGGTATCAGAAGCCAGGCATAGGTTTGGATGCCATCAATGATGCTATGCTTCTGGAAGCATGTGTCTACCGACTGCTGAAGTTCTGCTGCTGGGAGCAGCCCTATTACCTGAACCTGATCTAGCTCTTCCTGCAGAGAACCTATCAGACTGAGATTGGACAGACCCTGGACCTCATCACAGCCCTAAAAGGCAATGTGGATCTTGGCAAATTCACTGAAAAGAGGTACAAGTCTATTGTCACATATAAGACACCTTTCTACTCCTTCTACCTTTCTGTAGCTGCTGCCATGCATATGGCAGGCATTGATGGGAAGAAGGAACATGCCAATGCCAAGAAGATCCTGCTGGAGATTGGGGAGCTCTTTCAGGTTCAGGATGATTACCTTGACCTCTTTGGGGACTCCAGGGTGACAGGCAAGATTGGTACTGACATCCAGGACAACAAATGCACCTGGCTGGTGGTTCAGTGTCTTCAACAGGTCTCTCCAGAACAGCACCAGATCTTGCAGGAGAATTATGGGCAGAAAGATGCTGAGAAGGTGTCCCAGGTGAAGGTGCTGTATGAGGAGCTGAATCTGCAGGCTGTGTTTTTGCAGTATGAGGAAGACACTTACAGCCACCTTATTATGGGACTCATTGAGCAGTACTCACCGCCGCTGCCCCCAGCCATCTTCCTGAGGCTAGCACACAAAATACACAAGCAGAAAAAGTAACCTAGAGACTACCAGGGTAGGGAGGGGAGGTTCTCAATTGATTACAGTGAATCCCCACATAATGTCATCTATAGGTTTTTAGATACTGTGACAAAGTTTTACCATTGGCTAATTTATGTGGACAAGAGTTAATTTCCTAGAGCTTATTTCTGGTCACAAAAAAACCACCCAACAATACTAATATTAAACATTGAAATGTGAGCTGTACACACATTTGAGGAATGAATAAAAACAGGTAAGATTTTAAAAAAAGATTATACATACATACAATTATTTCAAAGGAGAAGATCACAAATTCTATAATAAATAATAAAAGGCTTTAATGTATTCCCAGTTGTTTATTTTTTCTTTTGTCTCCCATGCCTGAGGAGATATATCAGAAAAAATATTGCTTCAAGCAATGTCCAAGATTTTACTGCCTATGTTTCCTTCTAGGAGTTTTATGGTTTCAGGTCTAACATTTATGTCTTTAATCCATTTTAAATTTATCCCTGAGTGTGGTGTAAGAAGGTGGTCTAGTTTCATTTTTCTTCATGTATCTGTTCAATTTTCCTGACATCATTTATGAAGAAACTATCTGTTCCATTGTATGGGCTTGCTTCTTCTGTCAAATATTAATTGACTATAAAAGTGTGGGTTTATTTCTGGGCTCTCTATTCTATTCCATTAATCTAGATGTCTGCTTTTATGCCATTACATCAAGCTAAGAAGATTTTGCACAGCAAAGGAAACCATAAATAGAGTGAGAAGACCCATGGAATGAGAGAACATACTCACCGATACATCTGATAAGGGTTTCATATCCAAAATTTATAAAGGAGTTATAAAATTCAACACACACACACACACCAAACAACCCAATTAAAAAATGGGCAAAGGACCTGAACAGTCACTTCTCCAAAGAGGACATACAGATGGCCAACTGACATATGAAAAGATGTTCAATGTCACTGATCATGAGAGAAATGCAAATAAAAACCACAATGAGATATCACCTCACACTGGTCAGAATGGCTTCATCAATAAATCAACAAACAAGTACTGGCAAGGATGTGGAAAAAAGGAAACCCTTTTGAGTGCTGGTGGCAATGCAGACTGGTGCATCCACAGTGGAAAGCATTATGGAGATACCTAAAAAAAAAATAAAAATGGAGCTGCCTTTTGACCCAGTGATCCCACTTCTGGAGATATATCAAAAAAAAAAAAAAAAACAAAACAACAACAACACTAATTTCAAAGACTATATTCACCACTATGTTCATTGCAGCATTATTTACAATTGCTAAGTTGTGGAAGCAGCCCAAGTGTCCATCAGTAAGTGAGTGAATAAAACAACTATGGGTTATTTATACAATGGAATACTACTTGGCCATAACAAATGATTAAATTTTATGGTTTGTGACAGCATGGATGGACCTGGAGAATATTATGCTGAGTGAAATAAGCCACTCAGAGAAAGAAATATGATTTCACTCATAGGTACAATCTAATAAACAAACTGAACTAAGAAGCACAGTAGAGACAAACTCATAGATAAAGAACAGGCTGACAGCTCTAGGGGAGCGCAAGGTAGTGTGTAGAGGGATCAAGCATAAAGGAGAAAGGACTCATGGACATGGATAACAGTATAGTGATTTTGTGGGGGGAGTATAAGGGAGAAAAATGGTAATGGAAAAATACAATAAAAATAAATAAAAAGAAAAGAAATATAACATGCTAAAACATACCTGATTTTTTAAAAGAATGTCTATTCTATAGGCTGAGGTTTACCTGTGAAATTATGTATTTCAACCTAGATTATGCATAGTCTTAGAATTCCTTGAATCGTGTTAGAAGACATGATGCTACAGGACAAACTTACATTTTTAAGAAGAATTATTTTTATTTATTTCTACTAATTAAAAATATTTTATATAAAAACAAGCATAAATATATTTAGGGATAGATTGCAAAATGTATTTAAATTCTTCAAGATAAACCAGTAAGACCACTATGCTTTCAGAAGTAATTTCTGGAAAAAAAAAAAAAAGATGACAGAGGAGTGAGTGGGAGTCACGCTGACTTCCTCCCAAGACCAAACTGGAATTGTGACTAAATAGTGTAGAAATCACCTGGAAAACAATGGAACAATAGAGGGAGAGGAACTTTGGAGCTGCGGACAGACAGTGGAATCAACTTTCACACATCCGAAAGGGTGAGAAGTGAGGTGGAGGCTCGAGAGGGTGGGCTGGGTGCCCATGGACACCAGCAACAGAGGGACATTGAAATGACCAGTTAGATCCCCCTGAGAAGAACAGGGTCTGAACCATAAACAGGGACCTCTAGACTACAGCAGCTGAAACCAGGAAAATGTACAGACAAAATGCGACCCTGAACAGCTTAGGGGCGCTCTCTGCCAGAGACAGGCGGCTGGGAATGCAAAGAGACATTTAAAAGGCCAACGCAAAAATTTGCAGTGGCAGCCACCCTCCTTGATCTCTGGGAACAGGCGGCAGCTGAGTGGGCTGGTTCTGAGGAAAGATTGGTGAGGAAAACTTTGTGGAGAGAACTGAGACGGTGGCCAGCAGAGCCCCGGCGATAACTCACTTCCCATTCTGCAGCTACCATCTCCTTCAAGCATAAGTGAATCAATAAACCTGCCTTTTGCATTCCGCACACAGCTTGTGCGCATGTGGGCTGGGGCCGAGTGCAGACTGGCTGGAAGAAATAAAGGATCTCTGGCCAAAGGGGATACACAGCTGCATAGAGAGCCTTGAGGAGAGACTGGAGACAGAGGTGTTGGGGAAAGAACTGGAGAATTGGCAGGAGAGTCCCGGAGCTGACTCCTTCCCCTTTCCTGAGTCTCCATTTGGTGCAAACAGGACACACCCCCAAAGAGCCAAAAGCTGGAGAGCACACAACAGACTGACCTAAACAGCCCATTACCAGGGAGTGCTTGCCAGTGACCAGCATGTGCATGCGCACACGGATTAGAACCAGGGCGGCCCAGGGTGGGGGGATGCCTGCGCAAGGGAAGGAGCCTGGGCAGGCCTGGCACGTGCCTGAGTGGGCCCCAAGGCTTGAGTGGGCCAGAGTGCGAGTGCAGAGCAGACTGCAAAATTAGTGGATCCCTGGCCAAAGAGGTCACAGAGTTGCCCAGAGACCCTCGAGGAGAGACTGGAGACAGAGGCATTGGGGAGAGAAATGGAGGGGTAACTGGGGAGTCCTGGTGGTGAATCCTTTCCCAGTCCACGATCTCCATCTTCCTCAGGTGGATCATTCCCCTGAGTGACAGCAGGCTATAAGGACACGATAGGCCCACCATCAGGAGGCACTGCTCTGCCCTGTGGTGTCTAAGCCTGACAGATGAGGACAGAGTGACCAGATTGACAACTACAAGAGACAGACACAGACATTAGATTCGTGGAAGGCTCAAATGATCGACCCAAGGTCAGATAGGGTCAACAACTGACATCATCAGAGGCAGACCCAGAAAGAAAACAAAAGAAAAATAAATAAATAAAAAGACCCGACTACAACCATAGAAGTTTAATCCACAAAGTCAGGAAATCTAGATGGATCAACTGAAGCAGAAGAAAGAAAAAAAGACCTCACAGAAATGGAAAGAAAAAGAAATTCCCCCCAAATAAGAGGAAAGAAGGAATCCCCACAGAGAGAGCTAAATGAAATAGAGGCAAGGGAAATATCAAATATTGAATGCAAAACAATGGCTCTAAGGAAGCTCAATCAGCACAGCCAGCTCAAAGATAACTATGAGAAACTGCAGGGAAACTATCAGGAACTTACAGCAAAATATATCATCCTGGAAAAGGACATAGAAACTATCAAGAAGACACAAGAGGATATAAAGAATACCATTTCTGAATTGAAGAACACAGTAGAAGGAATCAAAAACAGGCTGGATGAAGCCGAGGATCGAATAAGCAAGATGGAAGACAAGGTAGAAAAAAGCTCCCAGAAAGAATAAGAAATGGAAAAACGACTCAAAAAGAATGAAGAAGCATTGAGGGAAATGCAGGACAACCTGAAACACAATAATATCTGCATAATAGGGATACCAGAAGGAGAAGAAGAGCAAGGGATAAAGAACTTGTTTGAAAAAGTAATGATGAAAATTTCCCCAAATTGAGGAGAGAAAAGGTCTCCCAGGTCCAGGAAGCACAGAGGGTCCCATGCAAGAGGAACCCAATGAGGCCCATTCTAAGACACATCATTATTACAATGGCAAATATCAAAGACAAAGAAAGAATCCTAAAGGCAGCAAGGGAGAAACAGGGAGTAACATACAAGGGAGTCCCAATACGGCTAGCAGCTGACATCTCAAAGAAACACTACAAGTCAGAAGGGAAAGGCAACAAATATTCCAAGTAATGAAAAGCAAGGGCCTACAACCAAAGCTTCTCTACCCAGCAAGGCTCGCAATTAAAATAGAAGGGGAAATAAGGAGCTTCCCAGACAAAATAACGCTAAAAGAATACATCTCTACCAAACCAGCACTGCAAGATATGCTAAAAGGACTGGTTTAAGAAGATGAAGAAAAAGAGTGAGAAAGATAAAAAACACAGGTACAAGGGAAAAAAAATGATAAGTTCCTATGAATAATAACTCTAAATGTAAATGGATTAAAAGCCCCAGTCAAAAGACACAGGATAGCTAAATGGATAAGAAAACATGACCCACACATATGCTGCCTACAAGAGTTCCACCTCCGAAACAAAGACCTACACAGATTGAAAGTAAAGGGATGGAAAAAAAATATTCCAAGCAAATGGGCAAGAAAAGAAAGCAGGGGTAGCAATGCTTATATCAGACAAAATAGATTTCAAAACAAAGGCTATAAAAGAGACCCAGAGGAACACTTTATACTACTTAAAGGAAGAATCCGTCATGAAGACATAAACATTGTAAACTTATATGCTCCCAACATAGGAGCACCCAAATATATAAGGAAAATCTTGGAAGACTTCAAACAAGATATAGACAGCAACACATTGATAGTA